AAAAGAAAACATGGACCAGTGGTCATTAACTGGAGTGAAACACAATAAATTGAGCACCAGAGATTGTCAAGTTACTGCTACTAATTAGCCAGTGACTTTGATTAAGAAAGTCTGAGTGTTCATTATGGAAGATATCGTTCAGGATACATTTCAATTTGCAGAATAGGAGCTGTACATTTTAATGTGAGCCTTTACACATCAGTGATAGATTTTTTTATCTCACTTTTCATTAGAAGGATATTGAAAACATTTTACTTCACACCTCAAGAGTTTCTTTTTAGTTTGAAAGGCATTTTCCCATATGATAATACACACTAGGAGTTAAATAACATTCCTTGTTGAGTAAATGGCTATATAACATTTCCTTTAGTCATAGCAGAAAATAGTTGAAGCAGTTTTATACTTAGCCATCTGTGGAAAGTATAATCCAATACAAAACTACTCATTAAGACTTTGACATAATAGATGCAACCTATTAGAGTTTTAATCTTCTATTAACTTATATTGCAATGAATAGTTAATCATCTGCCTATATTCTGATAATTCATCTATTTTCTAAAGGATTCATAAATACTACTAATTTCTTCACTGGGCATACATGAAATCTTCAATTTCTTTTCTTTTTGTTCATGTAGAAAAGTAACTACCTAAATGTAAGAAGTTTCAAGGACTTAGTGTGTTGATTAGTAGATGAACTACAAATATGATCACACCTGATGGTAACCAAAATGTTTGATTTAAAGACTATAATATTAACCAGTAGCATAGAATCACTGTTAGATCAGATAACTTTAACAATGTATGATGTATTGTGATCTGTGAAGTGCTAGACAGTCTTCAAATTTGTGGGAGATTACTTCTTTTCCAAATTGGATTCCTTTTTTTTTTAATCTTATCTGGCTACCTGTTAAATATTATTGGTGTTAAATATTATTGTTAAATATTATTGGTGCCAGTGGACATCCTTGTCTTGTGCCTGATCTTAGAGGATGTATGTTTCTTATCACTGAGAATGATGTTCACTATGGGTTTGTCACATGACATTTATTATGTTGAGTTATATTCCTTCTATCTACATTTTTTTAATTTTATTATAAATGTTTGATAAATCTTATCAAATGCTTTTTCTGCATCTATTGATATATTGCTTATTTTTCCTTTTGTTGCTGTGGTGAATTACATTGACCCAATTTTGGATATTGAACCATTTTGCTAGCCCCAGAATAAATTCCACTTGTTCATGATGTGTGATCCTTTTAATGAATTATTTGCTTTAGTTTGCTTAGATTTTATTGAAATTTTACACCTGTGTGCATCAGGGATATCGATGGTCTATAGTTTTCTGTTTTGTTTTTAATTTTTTGTCATGCCCTTATCTGCTTTTGGTATCAGAGTAATGGTGACCTCATAAAATGTGTTCCTTTTTCCTCAATTTTTTTGAAGAGTTTGAGAAGCTGAGATAGATATTAGTTTCATCTTAATTATTATGGCTTTGTATTATAGTTTGAAGTCTGGGAATCTAATACTCCATTCTCCTTCTTTTTAGTCAGGTGAGCTTTGGCTATTAGAGGTTTTTAGTGGCTCCATATGAATTTCATTAATATTTGTTCTATTTCTTTGAAGAATGTCATTGAGATTTTTACTGGGATCGCATTGAAACTATAAATTGCTTTCAGTAGAATGACCATTTTGATGATGTTAATTCTTCCAATCTATGAGCAGGGGATGTCTCTATTTCTTTGTGTCTTCTTCTTTTTCTTTTAACAATGTTTTATAATCTTCTTTGTATAGGCCATTCACCTCCTTTGTTAGGTTTACTCCCAGGTATTTGATTTTTTTGTTGTTTCAATTATAAAGGGGATAGTTTTCTTAATTTCTTCTTTAGATTGATTGTGTGTAGGAAGGCTACTAATATTTTGTGTTGATTTGCATCTTGCTACTTTACTAAACTTGTTTATTATTTTAATTAGTTTTTCTGTGGAGTTTTTAAGGTTCTCTATGTATACTATTATATTGCCTGCAAATAGTGATAATTTTACTTATTCCTTCCCTATTTGGATTTCTTATATGTCTTTCTCTTGTCTTATTGCTCTGGCTAAGAATTGCAGTGTTATATTGAAAAGCAGTGGTAAGAGTACACTTCATACCATACACAAAAAACAACTCCAAATGTATTCAACTCAAAAGAATTGAATATAAGATCTGAAACCATAAAATATAAAATATATTATTAAATATATCTTATTGAACATAAGATGTGAAACCATAAAATATATAGAAGAAAATATAGGCAAAACACTACATGACATGCATCTCAATAATATCTTTAAAGACTCATCCCCAAAGCAAAGAATGTAAAAAATAAACAGCTGGGTTTACAACAAACTAAAAAGCTTCTGTACATCAAAAGAGACATTAGCCAAAACAAAGAGACACCCTACTAATTGGGAGAAATTTTTTGCACTGCATTCAACTGCCAAGTAACTGATCACAAAGATAAACAAAGAGCTGACATGACTCAACAAAAACAAAGTAAACAATTCAGTGAAAAAAATGGGCAGAAGAGCTAAAGACACTTCTCCAAAGAGGAAATGCAAAAGGCCAACATGTATATGAAAATGTGTTCAACATGACTTGTAATCAGGGAAATGCAAATAAAAACCACAATGAGATACAAACTTATACCAATGAGAATGACACATATTAAATAAATTAGCAACAACGCATGTTGGGGAGGATGTGGGGAAAAATGAACTTTCTTTTACACTGTTGGTGGGAATACAAAATAGTCCAACCACGATGGAAAGCTGTGTGGAGGTTCCTCAAATTACTAAAAATGGAGTTACCATATGGCCCAACAATTCCACTCCTGGGAATCTACACAAAGGGCACAAAAACAAATTCAATTCAATTCAAAAGGATACCTGCAGGGCCTCCCCGGTGGCACAACTGTTGAGTGCTGGATTGCAAAGCTGCCGGCAGCCTCTGCAATGCAGGTTAGATCCCTGGCTGCCAGGTGAGAGTCCCACATGGTGCACAGACCTCTCCTGCTGCCCCCTGCTCCCCTCAGCAGTGTACTTTGTCAGTCTGCCTACTCTGCTCCCCACTCTGGCTCTGGGGAATTCTCTCACCCTCCCATGCTTCTGACTGTACCCAGTGCTTGTATAGATAGATAGATAGATAGATAGATAGATAGATAGATAGATAGATAGATAGATAGATAGATAGATAGATAGATAGATAAATTAATTTTGGAAAAAAAAAAAAAGATACCTGCACCCCTAGGTTTATTGCAGCACTATTTATACTAGGTAAAATATGGAAACAACCCAAATGCCCAAAAAGATGACTGGATCAATAAGATGTGATTTATATACACAATGGAATACTACTGAGCAATCAAAAAAAAATAAACTCATGCCATTTGCAACAACATGGATGGATCTTAATGGGATTATAGTCATTGAAATAAGTCAGAAAAAAAAAAGAAAAATATCAGATGGTTTCATTTGTAGGAGGTATATAGGGGAATCAAATAAGGGGTCAGTAAAAAATAATAACAGTAATACATAAAAAAAAGCAAAATTAACAAGCAACTATAAATCAGAGACATTCTGCAGGAGTGGGGGAGAAAGGGATCAAAACGGGAGGGAAGAGCACAAGGGACTGTGGTGATGGTGAATGGTTGAATTGGTGGTGGGAATTTTACAGGGATTGCACATGAGAAAGCATGCATTACACAAAAATTCACAGTGATGTAGAATGTATATAAATAATTTAATCAATAAAAAAGGTATTAGTTCATCTTTAAAATTTTATGAACTCAGTGGTGAAATTGTCTTTCCATGTATTTTTTTTTGTTTGTCTTTGGGACACTTTGTGATTACTATTTCAATTTCTTGCTTTTAATTGAGCTGTTTTTGTTTTCTATTTCTTCCTGATTTAATTTTGGAAGATAAATGGGTTAAAATATAGTGTGTGTGCATATATACGTATATATGGTGAAATGCTACTCAGTTATTTAAAATATGAAATTTTGCCTTTTGTAACAACATGGACAGAGGTAGAAGGAATTATGTGAAGTGAAATAAGTCATAAGAAAAAAAAAATCAGATGGTTGATACTATGTGAAATCTAGAGAAAACAAAAAAGAAGTGAAAATAGCAAACCCAAAACAAACCTAAAAATATGACTGTAGAATTGAGGCTACCGGGGAATAGAGTGTGAGTAGAGGACAAAGAAGAAAGGGATCCAATGGAGTGTACCTCAAAATTATACACACTGTTGTATACCAATTTCACCTCATAAAAATAATGTAAAAACAAAAATAAAATGATAGTCTTTTATGGGGAGTTATATGTTATGATTAAAACAGATAAAGCAAAGATAAAAAATGGGATCATATTTGCACAATGTATGCATTTTCATCTTGATTAGAGTCCCCATACAATTCCCACCCCCAAATAAATATGTAAAAATATAAAATAAAAAAAGAAACAAATAAATAAACAAACAAACAAATAAATAAATAAATAAAAGGACCATAATATGCTAACTGCATTTGTGTATCAGTGAGAGAGGATGTGTGTGTGCATATGTGTGTGTAGTTGCGTGTATAGAATTATATAGGTGTATGATTGTGTTAAATGGATAAAACTGCTAAGGTTCTTGAAAATCATAAATGCAAAATATAGTTTGCTTCAAATGTCTTCATCACCAGCAGTCCCATAACAAGCCAAGAATGAAAATTCCTTGTTTGTCATCCCTTCACTAAAAAGCAAAAAATAGAATAATCTTAAATTACAATATTTCCATGTGAGCTGAATAGCTGTAATGCTACTTCAGAAAAATATTGCAATCTAAATTTTCAAATTGTATGTACAATATTATTCATACAATATTTTTTCATAATATTGTATCAGTATTTAACATTTTATGGTGATTAAACTAAAATGTAACACTAATACTAATGAAGGATATTTTCCATTGCACTTTTTTAGGTCTCAGGGTGGTGAACTTTTTCTTTGAGTTCCTAACCTGTGAGCTTCTGGTAAGTTAATAATATATATGATTTTAGATTGTTTTGCCTTTAGTATTCCTTCTTATTAGTATCCAGTAAATACAGTGATAAAGTGAATTTAAATACTGATACACATGCTTTAATTGAATGTTGAAGAAACTATATTTTCTATTAAAATGTTTATTTCTTGGGTAGCTGGTAATAATATAGTGATTTTTTACAGTCTTTGATAAGTTGTTAAGTGAATTTGAAGACATTGTTCCATATAGGTAAAGATTTATACCTCTGAAAAAAAAGTTCTTTGGATGGACATGACAATTTTATGCATTTAAAATCTTACAGTGTGGTCTATTTGATGCCAATGAGTAGAAACAATGAGTTATTGAATCTACAATTTATTTTATAAACCTGTAAATATTTATCATAATTCAGTTCCTCTGTGAAAGATGTAATTTGAGAGCTTCAGAAAAGAGTTGAAAGTGAAATATGTAACTATGGAAATAGAAATGATAAGAAATAACCAGTGACTTCTAAATTGATATTGGGTTTTATTGATTCATTGATTAGGTGAGTAATGCACCCAGCTACATTTGTTAAAAATTGGTATGTGATTTATCCTTGTAATTGATTATTATAAAATATAAATAAAGCAAAGTTTATGTTGTAAAGCTAATAATTATTTATAGTAATATAATTTTAATCATTTCTTAAATAATGATCAATAAAAAGACTTATAGCTTATATATAAAATTCAAATTATTATGGCATTTGTATCATACATTTATATTTTTGTGAAAATAATATCATTGGAAACACAAAGATAGTGACTAAAGCTGTTGATTGGTCATATAGCATTTTTGAAATATATCTTAACATTATTTTAAGTAACTGTAGGCAATACCAACTCTGGTAACTGAGGTATAATTTTTGGTTTTGCCTTTTAGAACCACTAAGTGTGTGTGATTTTTAAGATAGTGTCATGTTGAAGCAAACAAGGGGAAAATCCTCAACCCTACCCAAAGAACTGTACTGATAATGGAAAACAGTTTTATAAAATACATTAGTTTAATATGAATAAGACAATGTTATCACCCAGAAACACTTGTAACAGTGTAGCTTATATTTCACAAGTATACTTAAATGAAGGTTTTTCACAAATTCTTTCAACTTTGATAAATGTTACAAAATATTCTCAAAATTTACTATTATCTCTAGTATTTTTATTTTTTTGTACAAATACAGTTTTTAGAAAGATAATTGCTCATATCTTTAGTACAGCTTCAGTGAATTGTCACCCATATAACCATTACTCACATAAATGTTTAAAAAAACTCTTTTCTGGTAACTATAACTACAGGAAATAAATAATTTCTGAATTTCTAGAAGGACAGATGCCTTGCCTTCTTTATAAAATATTCTATATGGAATCACATAGTAGGTATTACTGCATTAGATTTGTGGATTTGTGTAGTGCTAGTTCACTGTTATTGCTGTGTAGTATTCAACTGTGTGAACATACCAAGTTATTATTCCTGTGAATTATGATCACATGGGTGTCTGGAACATGATTTTTAGGGAATATGTGTTATGTGTTTCCTTGAGTATAGAGCATGTCATATGTTCTGGTTTAAGCAATACTGACAGTTTACCAAGTGTGAGGACTGTTCAGGTGTTCCATATACTCACATATTTGTGGGATTTATTTCCTTCAATTTTAGTTCTTCTGTTATATGTAAAGGGATATTTTAATTTGAAGACTACTGATATTAAGCAATTGCTTTGTGGTTATTTGTCATAAATATCATGTGGATAGTCTATTTTGCTGTGTCTCTTGATGCCCTTTTGGCCTATTCCTACTCTAGTGTCTCTCCTTTATTATTATATGATCTATAATGGCTATTGAGTTCTCACATATATCTGCAATGGTATGCTGAAGCTGGCTCAAACTAATTCACAAGAGTCAACTCTTAAAGTATCTAGAATTTTGAAAACTGCATTGCTGTTGAAAATCTGCCATGGTAGAAGTATTTACAACACATATATTGGCAAACACTAAAAAACAGGCTTCTGTGTTTTTCATCTGGAGAGCTAGTTGCTAAACATTTACCAGCAGCCCATAGATATTTATATTTTATATTAAGCCATTCAGTAGATTTTCTCATTACTCTTCTGATGATGTCTTTCAATGAACAGAATTTCTTAATTTTAATTGATGCTAGTTTATTAGATCTGTTTTTGACATGATTAGATCTTTTTGTGTCCTACTTAAGAAATATTTGCTCTTGCCATGGTTGCTAAGATAATTTCATGTAACTTCTCTTAAGAATTTATTCTTTTGAATTTGCACAAGCATATAGCAGCCATGATAAATATAGCCTAAAGGATTAACTACAGAAGTCATTACAGTACACATTCAGTATAGCATGTACTTCATTGAGATTTTGTTTCCCTTGTAATTTACATATGTGTACCTATTATTATCTATCTATTGTTACCTATCTACCTATTTATAATTTTCCTTACAAAAATACAGCAGTTAAAGTACAAACATACCTGTTTGCTCCTGATATGAATCAGCATTATTTTTCCGTTAAAATTTTGAGTCAGTTATGCAAATGTGTATATATTTACCAAAAATTGTGTTGTCCTATTATATAAGCTTTTTGAATTGCATATTTTTCTTTTTGAAGTAATCATCTTGATTTAAATGCATTCAGTTTTCTCCATAGTAGATGAAATATTTGAGAGATGTGATGAAGCATTGTGGAATTTAATATTTTGAAGTTGAAAGTTCAATAGTTTCAGTATGCACATCAAATTTAGACTGTTTTTAAAAATCTCTCTCTTATTCTGTTATTTTACTGGCTTCAGGGTAACTCATAACTCAAACAATAGAAATTTCTATAATACGCTGTTTTTGATAATTAGTATTTTCCTATCTTTATAATATTGAAAAATCTGAAAAAATTGGCTTATAGGTTCAAATTCTTGAAATAAAAATTTAGCCATTATTTAATATCATGTATTTGGAGAGTATGGGATTTTATAAGAGCCATTTTATTTTTCTTTTACAATTCCATGTTTGTTTAAGGTAGCCAAAGATGATGAAATATAAGCCAAGTTGGTGATTTGCGCTTTTACTAGATTACCAATTTCTGTGTCACATTGAGGCAGGGGAGAAAAGGTGTAACAGAAAGGTGTCTTGAATATTGGCTGATAGATTTTGTATAGCATGAATAGGTCTTATGCTCCTCAAACACGTTCAGGTGACTAAATAATGAATTTATCTGTGAAATACAGCACAGGTTACATGGATAACTAGTTCATGATTTACATCACAAAGAGATCCCTGAAAGGAAATGATAGTTAAAGGGAAAAATCCAGTTGAGATCACAGATACAGGAAATTGATGTCGTTTAAATATACTTAACTTCATTTTCACAGAGGTGACAGGGCTCGGTGACAAATGAAGTTAAAAATATGTAATTAACATCTGCATGTAAGAAAGTGGTCGAAAGTAAAGTATTATAAACATGTACATAATTCAAACCTAAATTCAAAAGATCAATTATGCAATAAAATCAAAATTTATAACAGAACCACTCTAAAAAGCTCAAAATACAATTAGAAAAAATATATAGTAAGTCTTGGTAATATAAATGAAGATTGAACTTGAGAAAAATATTACTGGATGTGCAAAAAAGCCTATTATTTTTTAAGTTCTTGTTCAATGTTATATTCATTTCATTAAAATATTGAAGTGCAATGTTGTGCTTATTTCCTCCTGAAAATACAGAAATATTTTCCAGTGCTTTATAAATATCTGATGATAGCAGATGTTTTCTAAAGTTGTACTATGCTGAAAATTATTTGTATATGAACTAGAGAGAAATTACCCAGTTCTTGTGCTGACTCAAACATTTGTTTCCTCAAATACATCCCCTATAGAACCTTCCCTCCTCCTACTCCCCTCCTCTCTCCTTTCTTAGCATTCTTCCCTCTCCTTCCATCCTTCTTTCTTTTCCCTCTCTCCTACCCTTCCCCTACCCCCCTCTTCATTAACAAATATTTATGAAGAACTTAATATGTGCTAGGAAAATGGCTAGCTTACATTATAATTATGGGACAGACAGAGCTTATCTTTGTTATGAAATATTGATTTCATAATAAGTCTCATGAGAAAAGAAAAACAAGCAAAAGAAATTCAATTTTGATAAAAGTTACAAAGAAAATATAGATTAATTGGGGCAGGAGATGATATTTAAAGAGAGAGTTCAATGCGTGAGCAATTAAAGAAATTGCTAGGCTATACCAAAAAGGGAAACTTGGAATGGTCAAAGAACTAAACTAATGCTGATGTAGAGAGAGCTTAGTATGTAAAAGCGAAAGGGCTTCAGAGGACTTAAACCTTGTAGGCCATGATAAGGATATTGGATTTTATTGTAAATACCATTAGGAGACACTGAATGTCTCAAACAAAATTTATGGTAATCCATGTATGTGTTAAGATAAGTGCTTTGTGGAAAATGAAGTAATACTAAGTAAGGCTAGAAGTGGGAAAATCATTTAGGAGGACACATTCGCAGAGTTCTTAGAGAGAGATATAATAGCTTGAACCACAAAAGAATCAGTGACATGGATTTGCAACCTATTTTGGAGGTGGAACCAATGGGACTGAATTGTTGATTAGGTCCGAAGAGTGAGGGAAAAAAAAAAAAAAGAGGCAATGGACATGACTCCTAGATTTGAGCAATACACAAAGGCCTCTGCAAGTGGGTCATCATGATGGAGGTAGAAAACAGAATCTAGTAGCAGAATCATTAAGTCCATTCAGTATCAAGAATGTAACATCTTACCTCTTTCTACTCAGTGTGATTTACCTTGTTTATTCAAATGAAACACAAATTAGGAGTAGGAAATAAGAATTAGGGCCTCCCTGGTGGTGCAGCGGTTGGGCACTGGACTGCAAAGCTGCCTGAAGCCTCTGCAGCACTGGTTCAATCCCTGGCTGCCGGGTGAGGGTCCCACAT